GCAGACAGGGTGAGCACAGGGCCGGGTGTGAACACGCAGACAGGGTGAGCACAGGGCCGGGTGTGAACAGGCAGACAGGGTGAGCACCGGGCCGGGTGTGAACACGCAGATAGGGTGAGCACAGGGTCGGGTGTGAACACACAGAGTGAGCACAGGGTCGGGTGGGAGCATGGGCACAAGGCGAGCACAGGGCCGGGTGTGAACACACAGAGTGAGCACGGGGCTGGGTGTGAATAGGCAGACAGGGTGAGCACAGGGCCGGGTGGGAGCATGGGCACAAGGCGAGCACAGGGCCGGGTGTGAACACACAGAGCCGACTTCGGCTGAGTGGCTGGCCAGTTTCACCATCCTGCCAGGTTTAAATCAAGAAGGTTTAGAAGCAGAAGAGGGGGTTCTGACTACCAGCAAGAAGGAAGAGGCAGCAGGTGCAGAGAGCACCATTTGGGACCAGCGACTCCTGTGCACCTCACACTGGGATCCACCTGAGAGCAGTGCTGCCACAGTGGAAACCAGAGATCTGACCTGGCTCTGCTGTCTGGCAGAGCCACAGGCCTTCACCCAAGCTGCTGGAGGGCTGGGGACAGATGGAGTAACCAGCAGACAGAGGGAGCTTTCTAACACTGATGTAACGTGGTCAGGCTAATGGTCAAGGGCCTGTGATCACACCTGAGAAGCTGTCCTGACTGAAGAACTGCATCTTGTTTGTACCCTGAATTGTAAACTGCTAACTTCCCTTCTTGTTCTGTACGGCTGCGCTGACCCACAGTGGACCCTCCAGCAGCTTTTCCGAGGTAGATGAATCGCACAGGAGGAGACTGTCTGTCTTTCTCTCTCTGAGCAGCTGGTGGATCTGAACTGTGTGCCTCCAGGACCGCAGCACAGCTCCTCACGAGGCCACCAGCGCTCCCTCTGACTTCTCCAGTGAGCTCCGTAACTCTGAGGATGGTGTGTGTGGCCACTGCAAGGGATCTAAGACCCTGCAGCAGAGCAGCGAGTCCCCTGGGAGGAATGTCTGGTGTTAGAACTGGCAGAGGGAGGAGCAGGGGTGTAGGAGGAATGGGGTTTGTGCCGTGGATGTTGTTGATGGGACGCCTTCCCTTGTGGAGCTCAGACATCACCACTCTCACAGGGCTGCACTGCTGTCACAGGGACACACGGACACCTCTCCTCACCACCAGCTCAGCTGTCCCTGTGGGGTTAGTGTAGGAAGAGGGTGCCCTCATCACAGGGACACACGGCCACCTCTCCTCACCATCTGCCCAGTTCACCAGCTCATCCTTCAGGTCTTGGTTCAAACATCACTGTGACCCTGGGGTAACAAAATTCCGTCCTGCGGGCTGACTTGGCCCCAGCCTCTCTCTGTCAGCACAATCCTGGCACCACTACGATGCATTCGGGTGAGGTTGCCGCATGCCAGCTCCCCGAGGTGCTGAAAACTCAGTGGGGCTACAGGCTGGGGTGCTTTGCTGTGGGCACATAAGGAACGCCTCGGCAAACCGTCCTTACACAGATGTGCTGGACCGGGGACCTGTTTACACAGAACTCCGTGAATTCCTCCGAGGCGCTCTGTTCGGCAGGTGCCGTCCCTGCCCCAGCCCCGTTCGATGAACTTTCACTTGCTGTGACCCACCTGGGTCTTCCGCGTGGCCTGCGGCTCAATCATGATGTTGATGAGGGAGGGCTTGGTCGTGTCCGCCAGGCTCTGCTTCAACGAGTTCCGGAGTTCCTCTGGAGTTTGTACAAAATAACCTGTTCCCCCAAATGCAGACATGACTTGCTCGTAGCGGGCATTTGGGAGCAGGAAGATCGGGGGACTCCTGCAAGAGAGAGTCAGGGCTCAGTAAGGTTCAACTCGAAAACATACAGGAAAAGTCATTCTCCAGAACAATCTGAGATAAAGGCAAACTTAAAGACACACTACTGACTCTAGCTGAGATGCCAGTGTCCTCGACTTTCCAGGTGACTTTTTTAGAAATACTATTCTATCCCATTTTTGGTGGATGTTTGGACAGTATACCATCTTTCCAGGTGGCAGCCCTGGCCTGCTGCTGAGGTACACTGGTGACGCCTTTCACAACCTATCAACATCCTCATGATGTCCATTTTGCAGGTCCCATTCCCAGGCATTGAACTTCTCTTCTTTGTTTTGGGATGAATGTGGACTGTCGGGGAGCTCCTAGTTTTGTTTTTTATACAAACCCCTGCCATTACAGTAATATCACATGGCTTTAACAAACAGACCTGGACCAAGAAGCTGCTGTGTGAACACAGCAAGGGAACCCTGCGTGGTTTAAAATCAGGAAAGGTGTGTATCCTTTCTCCATACCTGTTCAGTCTGCATGTTGAACAAATTCTTTAAGAAGCTGGACTCTTTGTAGAAGAATTTGGCATCAAGATCGGAGGAAGAGTCATCAATAAGCCTGCATTATGCAGATGACACAACCTTGCTTGCTTAAAGTGAGGAGGACTTGCACTTGGTTCAGAAGATCAAACACTACAGCCTTCAATGCAAATTACATCTCAATGTCAAGAAAACAAATATCCTCACCACTGGAACAACAGGCAACATTATGATAGAGAAAAAAATGGAAGCTGTTAACGACTTCATCTTCCTCGGACTCACAATCAATGCACTTGCTATCAGCAGTCGGGAAACCAGGTACTGGGACGGTCTGCAGTCAGGGACTCTCCAAATCACAAAGGATTAATGATGTCAGTTTGAGGACAAAGGTGTTCTAATCCAGACCATGGTATTTTCATTCACTTGCTATGCACAGGACAGCTGGACAATGAAAAGGGTGACAGAGGAAAACTTGATGCCTTTGAACCGCAGTGTTGGAGCAGAGTATTTAACTATCTTATGGACTGACAAAAGAACAGTTATATCCTGGAGAAGGTGCAGCCAGAGTGCTCCTTGGTGACAAAGACGATAAAACTCTCTCTCACATACTCCGGGCATGGGAGAGGCTACTCCTTGGAGAAAGACATCATCCTTGGAAACGTGAACGGTCAGTGAAAGAGAGGAAGACGTTCAACCAGATGGACTGACAGTGACTGCAGCAATGAGCTTGTTTGGAGGTTCTAGCAGGAGAGCGCTGCTACTCGTATAATCTTGACCGAAGGCTGGTCTTCCTTCTATCGGGGATGGTCATTCTCTTACACCGAGCTTCGGGAGGGATGCACATGCATTGGTGGGGAGGAAGGGGACACCCGCCCAGCCAGCCTAATCAACCCTGGTGAACAATGGGATGACAGATGTCGCAGCCAGACCGCCCTCACATCCAGCAATGGGCTTGAGAGTGTCCGGATAGGACAGGGTTCAGATCTGCTGCTCACAGGATTGCTATGAGCCACTTGACCTGATGGCATCGAACAACCACAACTCACATACACTTATTTTAGTGGGCACAGTTCAATCCGTGACAGCCCCTTTTGCTATTCCTAGAGATTTTTTCCCCTGCTGTCAGTAGTATCTTTCTTCATTCTTTTGATGCACTAATTATTTCATTTTTTTAAAAAAAAATTATTAATTTTAATGAAAGTTTACAGATACGTAGGCTTTCTATTCATTCACTGTTGCACTTTTCTCCCTACGCACCCCTTCCCTCCAATTCACTCTTCTCCTTCAAAAGTAAAAGAAAAACTGTATCATTGTTAGGCAAACCCACCCTCCCCAGTCCACTCCACTATGCAGCCTTCACTCTGGACTCCTCTCATGACAATAATACCAAATCATATATACCTTTCAAACAGTTCTCTTTCCTGTTTCAATGCAATACACATCATTCCTTCCCTCCTTTTCTCTTTCCTCAACTCAGATGTCAGTCCCGCTTTACAACAGTGGCCCTATGCAATATTTGTCCTTTTGTGACTGAGATACTTCACTCAGCATAATGTCCTCCAAGGTCATCCATTTTGGATATTTCATGAGTTCCTTGTTTTTTAATGCAGCATAGTATTCCATTGTGTGAATATACCAGAGCTTCTCTATCCATTCATTTATTGATGGGCACTTAGGTTGTTTCCATCTCTTTGCTATTGTGAACAAAGCAGCAATAAACATGGGTGTGCATATATCTGCTCGGGTGGCGGTTATCGTTTCTTTAGGATAAATTCCCAGTAGTGGAATTGCTGGGTCAAATGGTATTTCTTTTTAAGAAAACGCCATACAGCCTTCCATAGTGGTTGCACCATTTTACAATTCCACCAACAGTGAATAAGGGTTCCAGTTCCTCTACAACCTCGTCAGCATTTGATGTTTGCTGTTCTGTTAAATTTAGCTATTCTTACTGGGGTGAGATGATATCTCATAGTTGTAATTACTTCATTCTTAGGAGGTCCCAGTTATGTTTTTCTTCTGTTGTTTGTGCACGTGTCATTGTGATTGATAATGTAATTCTCAAGAAAACTAGGTGCTATTGTTTCGCCCTTTGTTACCACCCAGGAACTTCTGACAGTTTCTGATTTAACGTTTAGGTATATAATCCATTTTGAGTCAGTTTTTGTGTATGGGAACCTGTTTTGTTTTACTGAAAATGGATATCCAATTTTGCCAGTAACATTTACTAAATAAACAGTTTCTGCTTCATCAGAAGGACTTTAACACTTTGCTGGACCTCGCTGTCCACAGCTCGACGCATGCACTTACTCCTGTGTCTCCATCTCTCTCTCTGTGGTCTCTCCACTGTTGTCCTATAGAGGTAAGTGTGATGACAGATGTGTGTTATATCTACATTGTCCAATGATATAACACTTGCTGCTACTGAGCACTGAAATGTGGCTAACATCTTGGCTGTTAACTAAAAGGTGAGTGGTTCAAATACGCCAGCAGCACTAAGATGGAAAGCCAGAAGTACACTTCCACCACGAGATTACAACCCTATCACATGCAGTCAGAATCAACTTGACTAAAACTTTGTTTCAGTGGCTACATCACCACAGAGTGTGGGCCACACTATTATAACGATTATGAACGCAAGAGAAGAGGCAGGGAGGAATAGTAACTGCAAAATAGCAAGTCTCTTCCATTCCATCATATGTCATTTGGGAAGGACGTCAATGAGACCTAAGCAAATGTGCTTACTGGCCATTCCCTGGCCCTCAGGTCAGCACAACACACCCGGGACCGGCTCCAACATGGCCTCTGCTGAGCTTGGTCATCAGACAGTCAAGATTAAGCGGCGTTACGAAAGAGAGACAGGTCTCTGGATCAAAAACAATCTGCAGACATCCCATCCTGACACGAGACATCTGGTACTGGCCCTGGAGTGGAGGGAGCCGTACTGTTCACCCAAATCCACCAGAGAGGCTGAGGGAGAAAGATGGGACGTTTCCTCCCACGTGTTTACATCCGATGGAGGTTCAGCTCTGACCTGCGGGTAATGGGCGAGTGACAGGACAGGGCGGGTAGGAGCGGTTCTCACTGAGTCCTCTAGTCAAAGCGGTTAGAGATCAGCCCCACTCGCTGTGTAGTCAGCGGCTCCCCAGGATCAGTGTGAAACGTTAACTGAACGCCCGACAGCGGACGGCGCTGTGTGTGCTGACAGATGGACTGAACAGACCCACGCCACGCACGCTCAATCAGTGGGGACAGACCATACACAGGTTGTTGTGTACCACAGAGTCGGAACCAACCCATAGCTGACCCTCCAGAGAGTTTTCAGAGGCAGTTAATCCCGTGGGAGGAGACTGTCCATCCTTCTCGCTTGAAGCAGCAGGTGGCCGTGAACTGCGTGCCTTCAGGATTGAAGCACAGCGTCTTGCCATGAGGCTACCAGAGCTCCCTGTATACAGGGTACCTAGTGCCAAGTTTCTTGTTCACGATGTCCTTCCTGGCCATTGACGAACTGTTTGTGCTGAAGTATTTATTGTATTAAGGACATAGGATTCGGGTGGGATACACGCCCCACCCTACCAGCAGCTCCTAGCCGCCCATGAGAGCTGAACGAAGGTTGTCTGGGGCACACTCACACTCCAGCTACACTGGTCCAGTGTCCAGTCTCTTCACTGGCTTGCATCCCTGAGGCATTCCCCTGAAGGCTCTGAGTCTCTGGGAGACCTTCTAGCAAATCACCAAACCCAAGGGCCATGGAGGAGTGAGGGAACTGCAGGGCGGAGGGACTGCTGGTGTTACAAAGTGTGGAGTAATGCAGCAGATCAAACACTCGGGACAGTGTGGACTCCGTACTTCCTGTAACTGGTCTGTTACTAATCTCAGCAGAACAAATAATGAAGACAGATTTAAAGAAATGGTTAAAAGGATGAAAATACATGCACGTGGTTCTAGATGACTTACACAGCGGCCACTTCTCCAAAACCCAGCATCTCCTTCCAAGTGTCTGTGTCCACGCCTTGGTAGATGCCGTTGTTATTGACCACCAGGAGGACGATTGGCAGGTTGTGCCTGAAATCCAGAACAAAGTGCGAGGAGAATCACTCGTAACTCCACACGACTTCTGCTCGCGAGTTGAAATTTCAATTTAAAAACAGTTACTATTTTCTATATGCTTTTTGGTAGCATCAGAGTTGGGCCACAAATCAGATGCCCCCTGCACCCAGGTGACCTGTTTTCATAGCCACCTTCCACGGCGGGGACGTTATTGCTCCTATTATAAAGGAATGGAGGTGGATGCTTGGGTAAGCACCTTAGCCAACGTCACTGGCTCTAACCTGGTATCTAAATTCAGGCCGTCTGACCCCAGTGAGGCTCTGGGCACGCTGTCACCAGGTAGCTCTAATTATGTCTTCAGGACACAGGGGAGACCTGGTAAATGGGGAACGCCTATTTGACACGCCTTTGTCAGGTGAGTGCATTTTACGTGTGATTTCTCACGTCTTGGACAATGACACGTCAGAGCTTCAGGAGGCCGGGTACCTGCAGATGGTCTCCACCTCCATGCCGGAGAACCCGAAGGCACTGTCTCCCTCCACACAGATGACCCGCTGCTCCGGGCTTCTGTCTTTAGCCACCAGAGCAGCTGCGATGGCGAATCCCAAACCTACTCCCATGGTCCCGAAGGTGCCAGCATCAAGCCTGTGGGGAGACACGCGGGAAAGGCTGGGTCAGCACAGGCCAGAGCGTGTGTGCACGTGGGTACAGGAAACAGCCAGGCGGCCCAATCCTTCCTGGAAGAGCAGGAACTTCTAAGAGATGACTGACAAGGGGGCGAGGGGATCAGCTGAGAAGGAAAGGACGGGGCTGCAGCCTCGGAAGGCGGAGTGTACAACTATCGCACAAGCTCTCAGGGGAGGATTCTCTCATGAACCACGCTGCGCTTCGGCACTGGACAGGCGGGATTCTCCAAGCCCTCCTGACCAGAGCAGGCACCGGACAGGCGGGATTCTCCAAGCCCTCCTGACCAGAGCCGGCACCGGACAGGCGGGATTCTCCAAGCCCTCCTGACCAGAGCCGGCACCGGACAGGCGGGTTTCTCCAAGTCCTCCTGACCAGAGCTGCCGGGTTACAGCAAGCTGGGATAGAAGAGATGAGCTGTGCGTGTTCCCCGAGGACTTGCCTGTGTCGCGGGAGGTGGTTCTGGAGCACAGTGCGTCCAATGTCCATCGTGTTGGCGCCCTCGCTGACCACGTAGCAATCTCTTGGGAGCTGTTCTTGAACGTGGTAGAACACGGTGTAGTAGTTCATTGGCAGGGAGGTTCTGGATGCTAATTCCTAAAAGGATAGATGGGGACAGATTGGAAAACAACAGAAATAAAGTCAATAAACTAGAATCAAACTCACTGGGCACATCACAAAGCAACAAACACCACCTACAAGTTCCCAAAGTCCACTCACTGCTGTTGAGTCGGAACCAAGCCATGGCTGACCCGTCAGCAGGTTTCCGAGGCTGTAAGTCACATGGGAGGAGGGTGCCCATCTTTCTCCCACGGAGCAGCTGGTGGGGTCAACCACCTGCCTTTGGCTTGGCAACATGCCTCCCTACCCTCTAGGTCACCAGAGCTCCCACGTGGCCGTCCAACCGCTGCTCTAAGAGGCTCAGTGGCCTGTGAACAGCCCTGCCCTGCTAGAAAAGCGAGAATCCTTTCAGTAAAGGTCCAGTCCTTCAGCAACACCAGCCTGTCCGAGCGCTGTCAGGGAAAAAATGCCTTACAAAAAGGGGCATTTTAATATGAGAATGTGATTTAAGACACGCCACTCAAGTGTCAGGATTTCAGAAAACAAGCTGACAATATGGTTCACCCTCGTCCCCCAAACACTGGTGGGTAAAGAAAATACGCCCCACTCACTGTGTTAGGGAACCTGCGGTGGAGGGCACACAGGCGAAGGCCTCTGCCTGGGGGGGTGCCTGCCGGGGCTCCAGGAAGGGCCCACTGCCCCCACCATCACGCTGCCTCTCCCAGCAAAGGCCTCTGCCTGGGGGGTGCCTGTGTGGCTCACGACGTAATTCCTACGTACGGCGTGAGTGCAGCTTTGAGCTTCTCACTGACACAGTAACGTCTCACTTTTGTGTGTCACACAGACTATGGGCCTTCCAGTTCGTTTTATCAGGGAGCCCAGATGGCTTAGTGGCAAGGAACTGTGCTGCCAACCCACGAGGACGCGGCTGGAACCCACCAGCGCTGCCCGGGAGACAGATGGGCAATCTCTTCACACGCGATTCGCTGCCTCTGAAAACCTGCGGGCAGGTCAGCTCTGGCCCAGTTCTGGCTCGGAAGTCCGCCACCGCCGCCACCGCCACCACCACAAGCCCTGTGGCGTCACTGCATGTTTCACACAGCTCAGTGATTTTCAGGAGTGAATATGTGACACTCTAATAGAACCTCCTGAAAGGTGGAGGCCAGAGAAAGAGAGGCAGGTGCTCAGCAAGATGGACTGACCCGGTGACTGTCATGACGGCCAGGCATGTCACGGCCGGTGAGGCCAGCAGGGCAGGGCCAGGTGCAGGCCTGTCGCTGGGCACCCCCGTCCACCCGACGGCACAGGGCAGCAGCTGCAGGCCTGTCACTGGGTGTCCCCGTCCACCCGCTGGGCGTCCCCGTCCACCCGACGGCACTGGGCAGCAGCTGCAGGCCTGTCACTGGGCGTCCCCGTCCACCCGACGGCACCGGGCAGCAGCTGCAGGCCTGTCGCTGGGCGTACCCGTCCACCCGCTGGGCATCCCCGTCCACCCGACGGCACTGGGCAGCAGCTGCAGGCAGAGCGGGAGCCCCGAGCGAGCGGGGCACGTACCTTCGATGCCGCGTCATTGCTCTTCATTTTCTCCCGGAGCGTCTTCCACCACGCGCTCTCCGGAGGATACACCCACGGGGCTTTATCAAATTGTTCTAAAAGCTAAAACAACACAAACACAAACCCCACAGACGTCTTCTTCCTTTCCCGAAAGTAAATGAGCTGCAATTAACATTAATCTAGATCCATTTCTCCTCAGAGAAGACAGTAACTTTCTTTTACACCCTCACATCACCAGTGTGGCTCACGTTTTTTCCTCTGGACCGCAAACTGCTGACAGGAGGTAAACGGGAGGCTTTAGCATCCCTGCACCCTGCTGGAATTCCTGCATGCAGGTACCCCCACGGGCAGGGCTTTCAAAGTCCTCCCCAGCGCCTTGCACCACAAGGACGCAGACCACCTTCCAGAGAACTGTGCAGGAAGGCGAGGGCCCAGGCTCCTCGGACAGAGGCCAAGCCCCAGTGTCTCGGTACAGAACTGGACTGCGGGCCGTGCAGGTGTAACACACTCATCTGTGCCAGCCAGAATCAAGCAACACACGCCACAGCACCGTGTCATCTATTAAAATGAAATGCGTGAATGATACACAAATGATGAGAATCTAGACACAGTGACTGTATGAAGGGTAAGAAGCTTTCTTTCATCTGAAGAAATAAAGTTAGACTTCATCCTGTCTGCCACGCCAATCTTTTGGGAGACACAGTAGGTAAGACTGCTGGATCACCTCTGAGAAGGGGCAGTTCTGTCTATTGATTGACTTTCAGTGTTAAAATACCTCCTGGAAATTACCAGCTTACTGTTGTTGTCTAGTGCCTTCAAGTCGTAGACGACTCATCGCGACTCTATGAAAGACCTGCACCCTTGCATAACTTTCATCCTTTCTCCAGGTTCAGAGGGTTTCCGGAGGCAAGCTATTACGGAAGTGGATGCCATTCCTGCTTCCAACCTTGTTTTAATCGGGGAGCTCCACCAAACACTGTCCACCATGGGTAACCATTCTCGCATTTGACACATCAGTGTCACAGTGTTCAGCATCACAGCAACCACGAGTTACCTCTGTACGACAAGTGGGCAGACCAGGGCTATGTCACTTAGAAGAGTGTTTGACCAAAACCAATTAAAACCAGGCCTGAGGGCTGCAGATTAAAACCATCCACCTTGGGAACATCATTTTCTGTCCAGCTTGGTCTAGGTGCAGGAGTTCTAGTTCAAGGTTGTTTTCTTTTATAAATAGGGTGGGTAGTCTTATTACTCAAAGACTCAGGAACATTCTCAGAACTAATCTTTAAACCAAGCCACATAAACTAGGACCCAGGCTGCGTGCTTACCTGCTCCGTCACCGCGTTTATGTCTCCTAGCAAAGTGACGGCAGGCCGGACGTTATTCCCCAACTCCTCAGCGCAGATGTCAATCTGAGAGAGAGAGAAAGAGAGCGAGAGAGAGTCTGAGGAACAAGCCATTCTGAGTCTAACATCTTTCAGAAGTTAATCAAGGTGAGATAAAATGAACCGTGCACATATGAAAACAAAACCCAGGGCCATGCTCAGTTAGAGACCGAAGGTGTGAATCACTGGGGAGCAGATGCCCATCTTTCTCCAGAGCAGCTGGGGGATTTGAACCACTGACCTCTGTATTAGCAACCTGATATTCCATGCCCCCTCAACATATGATAAAAAAAAAAATGCCATGTTTGACATCCTCAACTATATACTAGCTAGTACTGAGAAGTCCACCATTTCCCCCCGTTTGAAAATCTACTCACAGAAGTTTGGTGTATCTGACCTGACCAATCTGTTTTAAAACTAGGCTATAATAAGATTCTAGTTCGTCACAGTTGGAATACCTCCCAGGGCAGGGTTCTCAAATGTGGGTGGACTTCAGGACCGCCCGGTGGGCTTGTTCAAACAAGCTGCATACCTGTAGCAGTACGCTGTCAGTGATTTGGATTCACACTCTGGGGTGGCTCTAGGTACTCAGGTGGTGCAGACGCTGCAGGCCTGGGCACCACGTTCTAGAAAATCTCCCTACAGCACGTGATGCTGGCTTCCGGTCACCCAGACACCCCAGCTCTACAGGGCCAGGGGCACCCAGGTAAAGGGGAAATAGCTTCCCCACTAGGAAAACTGAGCTGGCCCTAAGGACGACCTTTACTCTGTGAGCAGGGGCGTGGTGCCACCTGCCAAGTGCACCCCAATCTTATGTGCGGCTTTCGTTCCCAGTGGCCCCTGGTCAAAGGTGGGAAAAGACCACTTGCAGTTGATGCCTTAAGAACTAGCAGGTAGGGGAGCTCTGGTGGCCTAGTGGCAAGGAGCTGCAAGTACAATCCCAGAGGAGCACGGTTTGAATCCACCAGATGCTCTGCCGGGGAAGGAGGGACAATCTCCTCCTGTACCAGTCAGATCTGATTTGACGGTACACTCACACAAAAATAAAAAAATAAAATAAAAAAAAAAGAACTAGCAGGTAAATGAAAGCAGAGGGTGAGGATGTGCAGGGGGAGGAAGGGACTAATCTTGGGGTCCTACAATTTGATCGGGGTAGAGAAGGAAACTGGAAGAATCTGTTCTGGAAAACCATGTACTAGAATTTTATAAATAAACTAGCATTAACAATGAAAAAGAAGAAAGAGGTATACATGCAGCAGGTAACAACTGTAGTTGGTTCATCAGACGTGAAAAGGGGATGGGTCCCCCATGTACAGGATTAAAAGGCGCTCACGCCACGTATGTGGTAATTTCCATGCCAGTTAGGAAGCTGTGTTTACAGAGGTTCATAACACAGCAAGAGTCACCCGAGAGCCAGTGTGGTCTACACCTCCAACAACACGGGTAATCCAATGGAGTTCCGAGATTTCCTACCAAAAGGCCAACGAGAAGCAGGCATGTAAGCAGAACTCAGCCCAGCAATATTGGCTGTTCCATTTAACTCATCAATACCCCAGCTGAAGCCTTTGCTGATAAACTTCCATTTCTGCCTGGTGAGTAAGGAGCGGCACTGCTTGTCTCAAGGCCACCAGCTGCTCCACAGGAGGAGGTCGACTCTTCCCATGGGACTTCCTGCCTCTGAAAACTCGCCGGACGCTCAGTGAGGAGTCGATTCTGACTCAGCTGCACATAACCACCGCCCCCCACCTCCCCGAGCCATATGGAATCAGAATCGACATTTTAACAAAAACCCCAATTATGAAACCTGAGTGAATCCTCTAGGGACCCTCTTAACAAATGTAGATTCTGATTCAGTGCATTTGGGATGAAAATACAAACTATCAGCAGAGGACTGAGCAGTAACCAGTTCTAAGTCTTGCCTACTGGCCATTTAAAACACTTTTGCACTTGAAAATATCTTAAGTACGGAGAAGAGTTTGGAGTGGTGCAGTAAACGTGCTTTGCTGGAGGTTGGAAGTTACCCCAACACACTTCGGAAAACTCAAATAAAGCTCACTGACATTGAATCAAAACCGACTCAGAGCTGCTTCTCCAGCCGGTTCTCTGAGGTTGTAGCCGTGGTCAGTTAACCATCTCTGTTCTCTGAGGTTGTAACTGTGATCGGTCACCCATCTCTGTTCTGAGGTTGTAACCGTGGTCGGTCACCCATCCAGGTTCCCCGGGGTTGTAGCCGTGGTCGGTCACCCATCCAGGTTCTCTGGGGTTGTAACCGTGGTCGGTCACCCATCCAGGTTCTCTGGGGTTGTAACCGTGGTCAGTTAACCATCTCTGTTCTCTGAGGTTGTAACTGTGATCGGTCACCCATCTCTGTTCTGAGGTTGTAACCGTGGTCAGTCACCCATCCAGGTTCTCTCGAGTTGTAGCCGTGGTCAGTTATTCATCTTGCTCCCATGAAGCAGATGGTGGATTCCACTTGTCAGAATCTCGGCTTTTGGGCCAGTAGTGTCACTCCCTACAGTCGGGGCCACCAGAGCTCCATCCTTGGAAGACATCAACTCTGAAGAGGGTCAGCTACTGAAAACCCTGAGGTGCACAGTTCTACTGACACACGTGACTGGCATGAGCCACAGCTGAGCCCACGGCGGCTGTCTGCTTCCTTGTTTACGGAGGAGTGACAAATTATGCTTCTCTTTACATGTCATTTGAAATTGGACTTTAAAAAGTTACCTAAACATTGGTAAGCTGGCACATTACATTAGATTTTAAAAGGCAGCATTTTTGGTACCTATAGTTAGTCGGATGGGTGTGTCAGAGGCAGTGTGATTGGCACAGGATAGAGCAGGGTTTAGGGCTGTTGTGCATAGGGTCGCTATGAGTCGCAAATGACTCGATGGCACATAACAACAACAACAACATAGTTAGTTTAGACAATGGATAAAATTCTGTTAAAAAAGAGACACGGTTCTTTACAAAAGCCAAGGAGAACAAGGAGAGAACAAGGGCTGAGAGGGTGGGCAGAACAGAGAGCTAAGAGAACAGAGACTGAGACCTCTCTGGGTACCTGGATAAACTTCACGTCCGGTCGGTAGCGTGGAGGCAGTCCAAAATGCAAAATCCAATTTAATCTTGCACCAAACAACACAATTACATCGGCAAACTGCAAAGCCCTATTAAAAAAAATAACACACCAGATACCAATCTTACATAACTTACATATACTTACAGAAAGTATACCTAAACTTCTTTGAATGATCATAAAGTTAGTTATCTATTTAGGGAAGTTTAAATAAATACTCTGATGTTTCGAGTTCTGAATAAGCTCTATGGCTAATCTGAGTTTGCAAATGAAAATTTAGAAACCAATTTATTATAAAAAACCGAATTCAAGTCTACTGTGGAAAACCTAGAAAAATCAGGAAAAGTGTAAAATAAAATTCACTCACCCCAAGTGTCTTTATTACCTGTTATTTCTTTTATCAAATGTTATTCATCTTGGCATATTCCCACCTTTCCGTCTAGAGTTTTCTCCTGACTACATCTATCTTCACATAGCTAGACTGCAAGACCTTCAGTGAGATGGACTAAGAGCTGCAGCAACAGGCCCCCCTGTATCAGAGGTGGTGAGAGGGAGCAGGACAGGCCAGGGACACCAGGAGATGGACTTGACTCAGCAACACCTAACAACATACACTTTTGTCTGTTGTTCTTTTCTTTGTCATTAAGTTCTTCTTGCATAGAATTTTTAAAGGCTGTATTGTATTGAGCATATATACCATGTTGTTGTTGTTGTTATGTGCCGTCGAGTCGCCTGCAACCCACAGCGACCCTGTGTACAGCAACTCTGAACCCTGGCCTGTCCTGAGGCCTTTTGGGCATAGGGTCGCTATGAGTCGTGCTCGACTCAAAGCCAATCAACAACAACAACTCCTCTAAAAAAATGCACTACTAAGAAAAATTAGAAAGGTATACTCTCGTAAACCCTAAAATTCATGTTGGTACCTGCGTAACTACACAGAAGACTGGAAATCCATGGTGTGGTTACCTGTTCAGGGTGAAGGAGGGCTGGAGGGAATGGGATCAGGAACTACACACAGGGAACCAGAAAATCAATGGTTTTTATAAAACTAAGGCAAAGAAAACGTGAGACAATTACGACGTAGTGCTGCCGTCTGATAAAGCTGAGTGATGAATACGTGAGTGGGTTTTACATCTCTTCCCCTTCCTGAGTCCTAGAAATGCTTCCCAGCAAAGACATTTCAAAGCATGGGAAGAAGTAGGGCGTGAGTTGTTCAGGGTTCCCCCACCCCTAACCTTATATCTCCTGGCATTGACCGAGGCAGCACTGGCCACAGAACCGCAGGAGCAGAAACTTCCAGAGAGCCGTGTGTCTCTGGCCAGAGGCTTCAAACACAGGCCCCTGGAGCCGAGAAGGGTAAGAGGCAACAACTCTTGGGGTTTTCCTTTCCTCCTCCCAGCTCTGCCCCAAGGGCAGGCTCGGCCAAAGGGCTACATGATGGGGGCTTCCAAACAGCTCAAGTTCCCAAAGAAATTCCAGCTTTCCAGCCAGAGGGCCAGGGAAAGGGTCCATGGGGATAAAGAAGAGAAAGAGCCCCTTATGCTAAGGTCTGGGGCTCCTGCCACAGTGGAGCACATTTGAGAGAGACACCCAAATAGCAAAGGCTTGGAAAACTGAGCTGACACAGAGCCACTGGCCACGGTGGTTAAGGCGGGACCGGACATCTGAACCTAACAGCACCTCCGCCCCACCCCACCCTACCCCGTTTTATTCTCTCTCTCTCTCTCTCTCTCTCTCTCACACACACACACACACACACACACACACACACACACACACACACTCTCTCTCATAAACACACAAAAACATTTCACAGGTGACTTTAACAGGACCTGGAATTCAATAACAAATAGTCAGGACACAACCCAAAATACTCAAAACCAGAAAAACAATGGCCGATTTTCAAAAGAAAAGAAAATCAATTGAAGCCGCCCTAGATCACCTAGGCGTCAGAGTTACGTGAGGTTTTTATGTTAGAAAAATACTTTTCAAACACGTGGGAAAAAACCAAGCATTCTCAGCAGAGAAACACACATGGTAAAGAGACAAGGGACGGGGAAGGATGAATAGCTTTTTAGAGACCTATCGGGGCCTGCGGGAACTCTGCTGGCCTAGAGGGTAGGAGGCTGTGGTGACAACCCAAAGACACGGGTTCAAATCCACCAGCATTCTCAAGGCAGGAGGACAGACGGTCTCCTCCTGTGCCATTTACAGCCTCTGAAAACCCACTGGAAGGTGAGCCACGGGTCGGATCCGGCTTCACCGCAGGGAGGGAGCTCCTCAAAGGCCTGGTGTCCCTCGTTAAGGGCTCCACGGGCATCAACGTGGCTCTGTGCCCCTGTGAGGGTCACGCCTGGGAAACCGAGGGACTGTTCTGCTCCGTTAAGAGCCAGGTTTCCCTCAACAGCAGCAGGGTGGGCCCTGGCTTTAAGGGGGGCAGGGCTGCTGGCCGCAGGGCGGGCACACTGACCTAGCCAGCGGCATGTCAACAGGGAGATCTGGCGTCAGCTCGCAGGAAGATGACCGGTGAGCAGAGCACGTGAGGCTGTGCTTCTCGGTCACGCGGGGCCGCCAGGGGTCAGGACCACAGCAGCTCCCGACAGTCGGAGCTGCGGACAGACGAACAATGACAGTCTAATGCCTGGGCCGTGGGGGCCGAGAAGGAGAGTGGAACAATCTCCCTCACACACACACAAACCCCTTCTAATTTTTTTATGAAAACCAAATTTTACCAAGAAGATGAATAAATAGGTTCAAGAAGATGAGAAAATGTTGGGGGGGAAAAATTCCTAAACCACACATACACACCCAAGAAGGTGTTAGCTGTTGTTAGGGGCTATTTAGCTGACCATGACTCAAAGCAACATGTGAACTTGAACCCTGCCCTGTCATGCACACAGGATAAGTGCAGAGAAATCTCATCCAGACAGACATGCTCACATGACTAGAAACCAAAAAGGAAACATCCGGGAAGAGAGGGGTACACCACACGGCGGGGAGCAGTGTTAGCGAGGGCTTCTGGGGAGCCTCTGCTCGGAATCCAGGCAGGCCAGCCAACAGTGGGTGACAAGTCTAGGGAGAGGAGACCCTGAACCAAATGTCCCCCTGGGTTTTGTCCCACGAGCCTTTCAAACGCCTCTAGACTCACGGAGCTCAGAGAAGGACGCAAGCCACCCACCAGGCTGCTGGCCAGCACCACGCACCTGGACCTGGCTGCACTGACGCAGTGTGGGTGGTTGTCGGGCACCACCCCCTTCCCCATGGGTGTGGGCAGGAAGGGCAGCTTGCAGAGCTCCACCAGCCTTCGGATACTGCCCTCCGCATGGGCATATGCTGCTCCTGTAAGGAAAGGAAGTGGGGTGTCACACTCCCTGCACCCCAACCCGCCAAGGGGGGTGTGAAACGGCCTTGAGAGCGTCTCTGAAGGATGCTTAGACCCCAACCAACCTTCGGCCTTGCATCTTTACCTTCTCAAAAGTTTAAAAGGTAATGACTCTAGTCCCCCGCAGCAATCTTGTCGATTATCCTGAAGGGTGTCTCCCACACAAGACTCATCACTTCTGCTCTACGTCCTAGTAAACTAACGTTAGCGGACACACGACCTTCCCTGAGGTGTCCAGCGGGCACAAAAGGACTCTGCTCTGAGGGAGAGGTGCTGTCTGTGCTCACCCGAGTGGCAGGGTCCCCTCCTCCAGACACGCGTATTCTAACAGGGGACACCAGTGTCTAAGTCACTGCAGATGCACTACAGTCAGCCCAGCAGGGGCCGACCCGCGTGGACAGACAGCACCAGCGTCCACAGGCCCTAGCTGAGAGCTGGCCCTTGACCACACCGAGGAACACTCCCTGTTAAACATGGGGATGGGCCCTGATTTCTAACACCATCAAGGCCATGACAATGTTTTTATTTATTTTTTTTAAATTTTTAATTTTTTTTAAATTTTATTAGTGTGTGTGTGTGTGTGTGTGTGTGTTCAAATCAGATCTGACTGGTACAGGAGGAGATTGTTCCTCCTTCTCCAGCAGAGCATCTGGTGGATTTGAACTGTGCACCTCTGGGATTGCAGTACACCTTCTTGCCACCAGGCCACCAGAGCTCGCCTCATGACAATGTTTTTAGATATTTCCTGTTCCCTTTCAGGGCTGGGGGGCTACTCCTTCTTATCCAGGACTTGGGGTGCTCTGGGGGAGCTTCACGGGGACCCGGGCAGCTAAGCCAAAGGCCACGTCATGCAGCAGGAGGACAGTGGCTGCTCGAATCCATCCGCAGCTCCGAGGGAGACAGCCGGACAATCTCTGACACCCACCAGAGGTCAGCTGCGAGGCTTCCGACTCAACAACAGGAGACAAATATTATCTACGGAGTTCTGGCAAACAGGATCGTGGGTTTATACACGAGCACACAGCTTCGGACCACTTCAGTTAGGAAACCTTCCTCACACATGATGACACGTGGGGTTTTTCTTCCAAAGCATTTTGTTGCATTTTCCTGCTGGCCTCAGGGTCCCTGAACACCTGGTTTCTTCCTCCTGCGCCACCTCTGCTGCCTGTCCTGGTGACAGGTCTCCTGTCCAGGTGACAGACCATGCTCCATTCTGTTGAAGGGGCAGCTGCTGTCCCGTCCACTCTGCCCACCACAAGCCGCTGACCCCCTTGAGAGACAGTCCAAGCTGCTATGTCCATGTGACTCATAGACGTGACCCTGTGCACCTCACCCGGAGTGGACCTCACTTCACTAGATCACTCAGGAATGCGATCTATGAGCCTGGCCTTGCACTAAGCTCCCCCCAAACGAAGAAAGAAAACAGGCTTCTGTGAATCACATTCTCTGCTACCTGAGTGGAACAAGCCTGCGGAGGTGACGGATACCCCTGTTTCACCACTGAAGACACTGAGAAGCTAAGGTGTCGTCTGGCAGGCCACAGAGCTGACCTGTCGTAACACACGCGATTCAACACAGCTCTGCCCTCAATTTCCTGCAACTGTCCGTGACTTTATTTATAAACCTAGGTAACTATTCCCAGTTAGGATGAGAACGAGGACAGATAACAATCTAAAGCATCCGTGACACACAGCAACCTCGGGCCCATGGTAAACAGCACAACGTCTACAAGAGCAATCAGACCACATGTGCAAAAGCTGTCCAAATGCACACGTGACCAGGCAGGCGACGGGAGGGGCCTTTTCTCCTCATCTCGGACATCAGTGGAGGCATTCCTAAATAGAAAGACGATCAAGTGTCTCCCCCCGGTGCTACCTTTTCCAATGATGAGAAGGGGCTGCCTGGCGCTCCTGAGGATGGACGCCGCTGTGCGCACAGCAGAGGAGTCTGCCATGCTGACAGGAGGGGGCTGGCAGCACTCTGCGTACCTGCAGGTGAAGAGACAACCCACGTACCGCGGGTTAGGAGAAGAGCACACACACGACAAGGGGATACAGCAGCATCAGAAACCCCACCTGCCTGCCCTCTGGACTCAAAGCCCACCACCATTTATCAGAAATCCCGTAACTGACCACTCTGGATTAAAAAGCTAAATGGCTCTTAATTTTTTAAAAGTGCTAAATGGTTACAAAGTTGAGGCATTAACCCAAGTGGCTGGTGGTGATTGAGATGAGAGTGAAAGTGATGTTTCTCACACGTGTTGTTCACTCCAGAGTCCACTTCAGGGAAGAAAGGGACTTGGCAAATCACAGAAGCATCTGTGAATACTTTGTGACTGAAATAATGATTTTTCTTTTGTGACTGAAAGAATATATTTCAACCAGAGAGAGAAAAAGACAAGAAACAATGACAACAAAACCCCACTTTTCTCCTCTGTCTCAATAATTTTTCAACAGTCACACTTATCTCCTGATTTAAACCATGAAGACACCCAACATTGTACATCAAATTACCATGAACCACTTGTAATAACTAAAGGAGTACTTTTCTGAAACCATGAAGACAGTAATGTACACCGTATTACCACATCCATTTGTAGGGAGCCTGGTGGCTTAGGGATAAGGAACTGCAGTGCCAACTCAAAGGCAGGCAGTTCAAATCCACCAGCTGCTCCATGGCAGAAAGACGGGCAGTGTCCTCCCGTGTGACTTACAGCGTCTGAAAACCTACCTGATGGAGGGTCAGCTATGAGTCAATTCTGACTTGACAGTACACAACAAGAAAGGAATTAACTACAACTGAGTAGTTCAGAAGACTCAATTAAATTCAAAAAGAATTATTAACTTTCACTTCAACTATAATAGTAAGTTCAAAGAAAAGGAATTATTAAAGAATACCATTTTAATTAAGAGAAGTAAGCCTCTTGGCTAAGATTTCGTTTCCTTACTGCATGACTGCAGGTGAAGACACATGAAGATTAATTTATAAACTGCTGGGCACACCCCTTTAAAAGGCACACGCAAAAAAAAAAAAAAATAAAAAAAAAGGGCACACGCAGTCATCACACAATAAAGAGGGAGAGAATCCCAGCCCACGCCTTACTCACATCACCGAGTCCGCGTCCACCTGCAGGTTCACGTAATCTGCAGGGATGTCCACGTAGCACGCCCCGGGACGGCCGTAAATGCTGCTTCTCACGGCCTGCATGCAACAGAGAAGGGCCAACTTTATAGCACTCGGTCTTCATGCTCACGCGTCATTTTAAAGTCATTTACTCTGTGTATAAACACCATCTTTTAGTTTTGAGGACATGTGATTCAACTTAACTCTTTAGTTAGGACAGAAAATAGCCAACACCAATCATCAACTGAAGTGACCCTAGAAATGCATTTTCAAGCCAGGAAATATGCTGGTTGTGGGTGTTGGTGTGCCCCGTTGAGAGGGAACCAATGCACAGCTGACCCTCCAGCGGATTTCAGAGGCTGTTAATCACACAGGAGGAGACTGCCCATCCTTCTCCCACAGAGTGGCTGGTGGATTCAAACTGCCTGCCTTGGGGTTGGCAGCACAATTCCTTACCACTAAGCCACCAGAGCTCTCTAAAGGTTCCAGAGAAACATTAAGTAATAAATACAGGTAAGCAAAAGCAGCCAGTGCTAGAAACGATATAATTCCAGATATGTGTCATCCGGGCAAAGTGACGCCGGGGAGCCAGTGAGCAGATCGGGGGGCCTGGGGCCGGGCCCGGGGGTGGGAAGGACGGGCAGAGAAGGGTGCATTGCGGGGGTGGGGTGGAGGCACTGTTCCCAGATACGGAGCGGTGGCTACAAGCTATCAAGCCCGGACCGTGACACTGAGTGGCGACTATGGACAGGGGTCCCTCATCGTGACGGGGGGCCAGGAACCGCAGCTGTCTACAGGAGGGACACGTGCAGGAGGAGTGGGACACACGAGGTGCAGGGCTTTCTGCAGACCCACAGCTTCTCTGAACAGTCAGAATCGTTGTTTCAAAAATCAGGGCCCACTGCGCGGTTGGCAGTCTGAGTCCAGAAGGAAGATTCACCGATAAGGGGGGACTCTGAGGTGGAATCCCCGAGGCAGCAGGAGGTGTGGGCTTTCTGGGCGGAGTCACTGACTCCATGGATTTTAGAAGATCATTTTAACATTTGTTTAAAAGGAAAGAGTCAGAAGGAACACACTTTCTTAGGGCTTTGAGATGCACTTTGTTACGGTTTAACCTTGGCTCTGCTCCTCAACTCCTTCAACTCCACGGCAGGCACTTCACCTAATTTAACCTGAACAGTCTGGCAGCGTCTCCAGGAACCGTGAGGCTCCTATTTGGGCCAAAGGGTTTCTGGAACTCACAGCTTTGAAATGGCATAAAAATCACTTACAGATCAATACTGGTTAACAGAAACCCATTTAGAACAGGCTGTTTCATTGAGCAAAGATGGTTTTATGTACTGGAGTCGCAAGGGACAGAGAAAAAGCGGGGTATGGGGGATTTCACTATTCTCTTTGCTTATATGTAATTAAAAAAAAAAAGTAAAGCAAAGGGAAGCTTTATAAAAAATAACTTCTCTACTTCTATAATTAAACAATAATTGTAATGATGATTAATGTGAGTAGTTATCTAACAGTTACTTTTAATGCCAGTATGTAGTTTTAATTGTTTTTCATTATACAGAGAATAACTCAGGTATCAGCAACTTAATAAAGAAAAGTCATTAGGAAAGCCCGTAATTAAATACTGTACCTTTTCGATAATGAACGGGATAGCTTCTATGCTAGATGGCCGTGCAGAGAACTTGCTATATAATCTGCAAGCTTCAACCTACACGTAAAAAAGACAGTCATTAAAATCCCACAGATGTCAATAATGTATACTGCACTGAAACAGAGGAGGGAGAAAACTGTTTAAAAGAGATATATAACTAGGTATTTCTGTCTTCACAGGAGTCTAGAGCGAGGGCTACACGGTGGAAGGGACCTGGGGGAGGGTTTGTAAAACAATGAAAGAATCTTTTCTTTTACTTTTCCATAATTTTTGACTCATGTACTTATAACTTGTTAGTTAAATTCGTGTCTTCTAGGTTGCAACCCCCCCATGATACATCTTCAGGGATATGAACATGTACGGCCAAGCACAATCAATAAGAGTGCATCTAAATTCCAAAATCAATCTCCATAATAGTCTATGTGTTTCCTACTGCCAAAGGGGCCCTTTAGAGTAGTGAGAGAAGATCTTCACCCTGAAACCCACAGCGTTCCTTTTCAGCAGGAAGTAGCTAAGAGAATACGCCATCCCCTTTTCCTTATGACTCAGGGTGAAGTCTCTCTCAGGGAGGAGTGATAGGGAATGGCAAGGGACACACTGACAGAGGAGATTAACCAGAACTGGCTTTGACAAGCACTGTGGCAATTGGACAATTAAAACAGACATTCGGATGGCGGGGAAGAACAACAAACTGGGGAGGAGGGTAGAGAGAATGGTGCAGCAATGAAGGAATGAAAACCCAAAATCCCTGTAAATGTTCATTAAAACTAATAAAATTTAATAATAAAAAAAAATCCCACAGATGAAGAACACTTCCAACGGAAGACCAGCCGCCACGCCCTTACTGTTTAGGGGACAAGAAAGAAAACGTACTGCTGGTTTTCACAAGCATATGCAAAGCACAGTCACACTTCTGTTTCAATATATGTCAGTAAGCAAATCAAAACAAGGCAGTATTTTAATCTTAGGTATAGGCAAAAATAAGAAAACTCTGACAATACCTAGAGTTCCACCCAGAACACAAGAAAACAAAAGTCCAGACAAACTGCCAGTGAGAAGGGAAAAGGGCAGTATTTTATCAAGAATTGCAGGAAGTTCGCCCCTGGGCCCTGCAGTCCCAAAGGCATGGATTACACCCGTGCTGACTGGCACACAAAAGCAGAAACCACAGTGTCCGCTCAAACCCTGTTCTCAGCACCAAAAAAAACTTAAACACGTCACCAAGGGGCGAATTCAGAAGGAAGAGCTACCCAGCTATTTTTTAAAACGTGGCAGTTCCCGGCATCCCGATTGTTGTTGTTAAGTGTCACTGAGTCGAGTATGACCCACAGAGACCCGACAACAACAGATCTGAACGCTGTCCTATCCTGTGCCATCCTCACACTTCCTGACACGAGAGCCCATTGCGGCAGAGACCGTGTGGCTCCACCTGGTCAAGGGTCTTCTCCTTTGCCGACCTCTACCAATCCAAGCATCGTGTCCCTCTCCAAGAAGAGTCCCTCCTAGCAACATGCCCGAAGTATGTGAGGTGAAGCTTTATCATCTTTGTCTCCAGAGGGCACAGTGGCTGCACCCTCTCCAAGATGTATTTTCCTCCTGGCTGTCCATGGGATGTTCAGAGCTCTTCTCCAACACCACAGCTCAAAGGCATCAGTTCTTCTCTTGTCATCTTTATTCACTGTCCAGGTCTCAGATGCTTAGCAAGTGATTAGGAAGACCATGGCCTGAACCAGACATCTTAGTCCTTAAACTGACATCATGACTCCTCAGTAATTTGGAGAGGTCTCTAACGACAGACTTTCCCAATGCAATGCGTCTCCTTATTTCCTGACTGCTGGTACCAAGGGTGTTAATTGTGGATCCAGTCCAGAGGAAGGGCCCGCTGAGAGAGGAAGAGAATTACGTGCCAAATAAAAAAAAGGAAGAAGCAGTGTAACGTGCGGCGGTGATTCCACCTGAGCGCCCCAAAAGGAGCCAGACACGACCTATTTGAATCACAAACAGGATAACGTGTAGAAAAACTGAAAAGTTACATCAGAAAGGTCAGCACTGACAAGAAAGGGTGATGCCAGTGGGTGTCTTAGCTGTGTTATGACCTCTGGAACCTGGATTCTTTTCAACCCTGAACAAAACACAACCTTTGTTAGTAAAAGCAGCAGAGATAGGGTGTCTGTTCAAAAGGCTGAATATGAGTTTGACAAAACCCTAAGCCACTGTGCCAGACAGTACAGGGGAAGGGGTTTGGAGCCCGGAATAGGGACAGCAGTTCTCTCCAGCTGGCCGCCCTGGCCAGTGAACAGCTCCTGCCGCCGTATGACTTGGGGATGACGGCTCGCCAGAGTCACAGAGCTGCTCCAGCCACACCTGGCGGGACTTCACATCACTGCGGGAAGACTCAGGGCAGGTGTTCCAGCCACATCCAGGTCTTCAGGGCTTCGTCCTCTACTCCGTAAGGCTCTGAACACACAGGAAGGGGTCTGTTTACTGCTGTGTTGTTTACTTTATCCTCACAGTCCCCAGCACAACCAGTGTTTGCTGGCGGGCTCACATCCACGGTAGCAAGGCGGACGTTTGCCCTTTTGGACAGAAGTAACCAGCAGCCCAGCTGTTTGACAACCGGCCTACTTTGAAAAACAGAGCTGCGTCATCGGCAAAGGGGAAATTTATCTAGTTACTTGCTTTTAACACAATGCTTACTGTTATTGTTAACACAACAGTAGATTTTCAATTTTTTGAAAATTAAATCAGATGTATTTATAAATCTAAAGGAAAGAAATCATGCCACAGCCCCACAAAATCACAGCATCATGGCAACCCTCGTGCGCTCTGATGCCGGCAATACTAGAGCACCGATGGTAGAGATATAAAAAGGCTGGCATAGAGGGAGCTCTGGTGGCCTAGTGGCAAGAAGCTGCACTGCAATCCCAGAGGCACAAAGTTCAAATCCACCAGATGCTCTGCTGGAGAAGGAGGGGCAATCTCCTCCTGTGCCAGTCAGACCCAATTTGACGGTACACACACAAAATATAATTTAAAAAAAAAAGGCTGGAATCGTTAAGGAGATGATGTTGTGTTCTATGAATGTGTATCTTACGAGTGGACCTCCTGTCCAAGTACACCACTGTTTCTGGAAGTGATCTGCTTGCATTTGGAGTCACAAAATCTATTCTTTATCCTGCTATCTTCACACAGCACCTGCCTGGAAATTCTTCATCTCCCCCATTTTCAGTTCTCTAGTGGCTTAGTGGTAAGGAGCTGTGATGCCAGCTCAAAGGCACAGGGTTCGAACCCACCAACTGCTGAGGGAGAAAGATGGGCAGTCTCCTCCCCTGTGTCTACAGCCTCTGAAAAAAGGTCAACGGAGTTGGTTCTGACTCAATGGCACACAACAACAGTAACAACAACACACATTATCTAAAGAATCGTGGTGGTGCAGTGGTCAAGGTGCTTGAATGTGAAGGGAAAGGTCAGTGGTTCAATCCCACCACCTCTCCACTAGAAGCAAGCAGAGCTGTTTGCACCCGGGAAGGCTGACCGTGCATCTCAGCACTGGGCCCTCTCGGCATTCTGAGGGGCTCTGTGTTGTGTGTGTGGACCCCTGCTCCACAGAGTGCTTCTCTGCCCCTTCCCTGCATCCCCAGGCCCCTACCTGAGGGAACTCCTGGAAGGCGCCCATCGCTTCCTGGCCTCTTTCAGAGGATCCACCAATCACAAGCAAGGGCCTGAAACACCAAAAACAGAGAGAAATTTCCCCTTAAGACTGGAGAAAGATTTAGGAAGCAAGCTTAGATCAGAACCACTGCTGGAAAAGCCGGGCATCTGTAATAAGTGTATTTCTCATGGGGAATGCTGGTTCTACCCGGAACCTGGTGATACTGGGGGCTCTGACGTCCTTATAACGTCCATTCCTGGGACATGAGGACAAGAAACCTTACACTCTCCTAAGCGAGGCTGTATGGAAATAACAGGAACACAGCACTGCTCAGCAAAGAGGGCGCTCTGGTGGCCTAGTGGCAAGAAACTGCGCTGCAATCCCAAAGGCACACAGTTCAAGGTCACCATCTGCTCTGTGGGAGGACGGGCAGTCTCCTCCCACGTGATTAACTGCCTCTGAAAACATGCCAGAGGGTGAGCCATGGGTCGGTTCTGACTCTACAGTGCCCAACACTCAAACAACAACAAGCAGGGGGACAAAAGGTTATTGAAATCTAAAATCACATAAGAAATAAGCTTCACATAAATCAAACAAGATTTTAAAAACTTGGTTTCAGTAAAAAATGCATTCCTCTCCACCTCACCACTATATATATGTAACAAGTGAAGAGTACAGTGTGCTGTAACAAGTGCGATGTAACTAGTGAAACTCAGTGGATGATAGAGCTACAATGGCTCTCTGTACTCTTCTCATTCTTCCAACTTTTCTTAAATTTGACATTCTTTTTCAAAGTTCAAAAATTAAAAGTCTACATAAAGCATATACGTTATCCATGCATACTCAAGAGAATTTTATGTTCTTAGATGCATATAATTATTTCATAAGGAAAAAAATAATTTACAATATTCATGTCAGTTCACCTCTTTGAACTGACAAAGAACTGATCAATTCTTTATCTGTAAGAGATAGGAATGGGCATTTTCAACAGTTTTTAGAGTTCTAAACTCTCTGGTTCCAGAAAATTCTGAAAGTATATCAAGTAGAAGTGCTGGTTTAAACATTTACACAGTATCTTTGTTTCTGAGAACTTCATGTCTCTGCATCTGGCCACAGAAGCTGCTGTCTCAATGATCTCCCTGAAGTCAGTTCCAGATAAGACCGAACATGAAACCCGTTCAACACGACCAGGAAATCCAGCTCTGCCTTCACTAAGCGTTCCCTCCAGGGAGTCCCACCCCAAAGCAGGGCATTTTTAAAAGAAGCCTCTCAACAGGATGTGATTACCAGCAGTTCATGTTTGCATTGGCCATTCCGCCCAGGGCGTGGATGAGACCAGGGCCACTGACCACAAGACACACTCCTGGCCTGGAAGCAAACAGAGGGACAAAAGTACGTCAATACAACAACTGATGGCGTCTCTACTGCCTTGTAATCACCCAGGAGCTGGAGTCCACTTCTTCAATAAAAGGACAGAGATCAAAGTTAGTCACTCTTCTTTCCATGACTAGGAGGACACTTTTCTATTTTCACCCAGAATGTTGTTGTTAGGTGCCATCGAGTCAAGTATGACTCACAGCATCCTATGAACGTAACATCTGACCTGTTCTGTCCTGCGCCATCCTCACACTTCCTGACACAAAAAGCCTACTGCAGCAGTCACTGTGTGTCAATCCACCTAGTTAAGGGTCTTCTTCTTTGCCGACCCTCCACCCTTCCCAGCAACATGTTCCTTTCCAAGGAATAGCCCCTCCTAGCAACACGCCCAAAGTATGTGAGGCGAAGCTTCACCACTCTTGCCTCCAAAGAGCACTCGGGCTGCACCCTCTCCAAGACATGTCTGATTGTTCTCTTGGCCATTCATGGGTTAGTCAGTGCTCTTCTCCAACACCACAGCTCAAAGGTATCCATTCTTTTTCTGTCATCCTTATTCACTGTCCAGCTCTTAGATGCATAGCTAGTAACTGGAAATACTATGGCCTGAATCAGACACACTTTAGTCCTCAAAATGACATCATTACTCCTCAATAATTTGGAGAGGTCCCTAACTGCAGATTTTCCTAGTGCAATGCATCTCCTTATTTCCTGACTGCTGGTACAAAGGATGTTAATTGTGGATCCAAGCAAGATGAAGCTGTTGACAGTTTCAATCTCCTCTTCATCCATCATGATGCTTGCTGCCTACCAGTCCAGTGGTAAGAATCTTCATTTTCCTGACACAGAGATGCAATCCATACCAAAGGCTGCATTCCTTGATCTTCTGCAGCAAGTGCTTCAAGACCTCCTAACTTTCAGCAAACAAGGTTGTGTCATCTGCATAACACAGGTTCCTGATGAGTCTCCCGCCAATCTTGATGCCACACTCCTCTTAATAGAGTCCAGCCTCTTGGATAATTTGCTCAGCATACAAATTGAGTAGGAACGGAGAGAGAATATAACCTGAAGAAAATGAAAATAAGTCCACCAGAACCAAGATACAATCTTAAATCAATTCCATCTGAATGTCACGATTATTTCAGAAATAGGTTTGAAGCACTGAACTCCAATGATCAAAGATCAGATGAGTTGTGGGATGACAGCAAGGGTATCATCCATGAAGAAAGCAAAAGGTCATTACAAACACAGAGGAAAGAGAAAAAAATGGAGATGGATGTGGGGAGAGACACAAAAGATTGCACTGGAGCATTGAGCGTTTCACCGAGCATACTTGGGCTAAATCAAGTCATTGTCATACAGGGTAAATTTATCTTTTTTTTTGGTGTTTTTCCACTGCTAGGTAAACGTAGGGTAGGGGGAAGCCTTTTTCACTTATTACCAAATAAACACAATGCCAACTAATCTTTGGTACAAAAATAATTCTTAAAATATTAATTCTGTGCTCCAAATTTCTTTTCCTTGAACTGGTCTGCTTTACCCTCGATATGCACTTTCAAGGAGAAGTAAATCAGATTTCCATTTACAAAGTTCTTCCTTTTTTTTTATTTTATTTTATTATTTTTGTGTGCGTGTACCGTCAAATCAGATCTGACTGGTACAGGAGGAGATTGCCCCTCCTTCCCCGGCAGAGCATCTGGTGGATTCGAACCGTGCACCTCTGGGATTGTAGTTGCAGCTTCTTGCCACTAGGCCACCAGAGCTCCCCAAAGTTCTTCCTTTAAAAGCTCTAGTTCACATAGGCTTTAAAAGGACTCTAATTATCACCAACTAAATGAAACTCCTAAAACAGTGCGATCTCATGAAATTTCTGCAATAACAGAAATGTTACACAGCTGCATCATCTGAAAAGGCAGTGCCTGGGTACTGACCACGGCAAGTGGGAAGCTGTAGTTTAAATACTGTTTCATTTCAGGACGGTACAAATAACAATATGATACTAGTGGTCCAATGGTTACTGCAAAAGACAGTGCAGTTCTAGAAGGTCACTTGTGTGAAAGTTTATGAAAATTTGTGACTTCTGACAACTGCCTACTCGTGAGCCCAGTGATCGTGGAGACTAGGCTGCCAAGGCTCTGCGTTCAGAGGCTTCCCAGGCACCGTCCACACGTAGGCAAAATGACAGAGAATGGTCAAGATCTTCTTCTTCTTCTTTGGCTGCCTTATTTTCCCTGAGCTCGAATTCAGAGGGCTCCGGCCTCTGTTTAAGTTTGTCCAAACAAGCTTTGGGGCTTTGGTCATTTTATATTTCTTATGTTTTAACTGATTTTATTTTTGGAAAAAAATTACCAATGCTCACAGAAGCAGAGGCGTGTCACAAATGATGCGAGACTAGCTCCCGCTCTGTAGAAAAGCATTACGTAGAAATAAAAAGATGAAGGTGGTGGAAAGTTTAAAAGGTCTCAGGATTGTGTGTAGGAGCCTTGGTGACGCAGCAGTGAAGCGCTCCATTGCTAGTCAAAAGGTGGCAGTTCAACCCCACCAGCCCCTCCTCGGGAGGCCCAGGGGGCATGTGGCTTCAGTGAAGATTTGCAGCCTTGCATCACGATTCAAAGGCACTAATTCTTCTATCATCCCTATCCCTTGGCCAACTCTGTCTGTCACATTAAAGGATGAGAGAGTTGACAGGCTTAAGGCAGCTGTGCAAATGTGACAGGATTCCATTTCTAGGGCAAGTTTAGGCAAACGTACAAGATGAGGTAGATTAGTTACTGCCGTGGGGCTGAGAAGGTTTTGGGGAGATGGGAAGCGCCAGTGAATGGGAGTAGAGTTCCTTTTCACAACACTATTAGTACTGTTAGTATCTTCAAGGATGTGGACCGCTGTGAACGAGACTGTCCCACGGTGTGTTGGGGTCAGCACCGACCCCCAGCACTGGCTCTCAGGCCGGACACAAGCGGTTTTCCTCTCCTTCCTGGATCGTCCAGGTTCCCAAGCTTTCTGGAACACGCAGGGCGTTCTTAATGTTTAATCAGAGACGGATGAGTGATGAAGTTAAAGGGCACCCACTACAAAGTCTACGGAACAAACCCCAGCAGCTTCATCTGGAGCGGAGCATTTCTGTGTGAAGTGTGTGGGCTTCTTCGAGGGACAAGCCGAGAAGAGATTTACCTGGGCCGCTGCAGGTCACCCGGAAACCCAGGTGCTCTGCCCACAGCGCCCTTCCCAAGGCACTGCTGTCCTTTGAGCTGACCCCAGAGAGCTCCACATTTATTTCTCCTCATCAGTACCAGGGATGTGTCCTATCTCCATCCCTTTTCAACCTGTATGCAGAGCAGATTATCTGAGAGGCTGGGCTCTATGAGGAGAAGTGTGGCGTCAAGATTGGTGGAAGATCTACCAGCAATCTGAGTTATGCAGATGACACAACCCTGCTTGCTTAAACTGAGGAGGACCTGAAGCACTTGCTACAGAGGGTCAAGGACTGCAGCCTTCAGTATGGACTGAGGCTCAATGTCAAGAAGACAAAGATTCTCACCACTGGACTAACTGGCATGGATGGCGAAGAGATTGAGATTATTCACAGCTTCAGTTTACTAGGCTCCACAGTCAACACTCTTGGCACCAGCAGCTAGGAAATCAAAAAACTTATCGCAATGGGAAAGTCTGCTGTTAGGGACCTCTCTAAATTACTCAGGAGCAATGGTGTCTCTCTGGAGACTAAGGTGCACCTGATACAGGCCACGGTCTTTGCAATCACTTGTTATGCATCAGAGAGTTGGACCACGACTAGGGAGGGCAGAAGGAGAATTGATGCCTTTGAGCTGTGGTGCTGGAGAAGAGTATTGAATTACCATGGACTGCCAAGAAAACAAACAGATTCATCGTAGAGAGGGTTAAACCAGGCTACTCCTTGGAGGCAAGGATTCTGGGGCTTCGTCTGACATACTTTGGACATGTTGCAAGGAAGGACAGGTCCTTGGAGAGGGACATCATGCTTGGGAGGGTGGAGGGACAGCGCAGGAGGGGAAGACCCTCTATGAGGTGGATTGATTCAGTGACTGGGGTAATCGGGATGGGTGTGTCAGAGGCAATGCGACTGGCACAGGATAGAGCAGAGTTTAGAGCTGTTGTACATAGGGTCGCTATGAGTCACAAACGACTCGACAGCACATAACAACAACAACAACAACATCAGTAGCATCTTCTACAGTTTTTTCTAATCAATGACTTATTCAATGAAGAAATATAAGCATCATACCAAGACTATCAAAGGCATTCGACCCCCGCACACGGTGTTTGCTTACCTGCCTGTGAGAAAGCCGACTGCAGATGCAGCGTAGCAAGCCTACAAAGAAAAACACCAGGATTGAGGCGTGCTGGGCCACACGATGCAGGTGGGTCTCACGGCCACGCAAGGGCACAGCATCCAGTGGCAGGGGAGAACCAAGGGGCTGCCCTCTTACCAAGGACCACATACTCGCAAATTCCAGTTAACGGTCGAGGTCCCTCTTCTAGCTTTTTTTCACCAAGTGGCTGCGTTTCATTTACATGGTTTACAGTATCCCCTTGTTGTTATGTGCCATCAAGTTGCCTGTGACTCATAGTGACCTTATGTACAATAGCCCTAAACCCTGCTCTATCCTGTGCCAATCCTACTGTCTCTGACACACCCACTCCCCACTACCCCCTAGTACTTTAAAATATCCACAGGATAAAGTGGATTTTCTTCTTTTCTTATCCCTAGTCTCAGCGCTGTTAGCTTTCACAAAATATTGAAACTGTTTACAAAGTATCAGTAAGTGTGTTGCTCTATTTTGAATATTTGGGTATTTGTTCTGACTTCCTGTCTGTTACTAATTTCTAATTGATTTCTACACGGTCAGTTGATATATAATGGATGTTTTCAGTTCCTAGAAATACGCTGAGACTGCCTTATGAAATGCACACTGCCAGTTTTTATGCTAGCTTCTCACGCTGCCTTTCGCCTCCACATCTGGAAGCACAAAGAAACACTAAATTATATAAAGACAAGATAACTTACAGATACTCTAAAGCCTTCTCAAACACATTCCACTTAGCACTTAGGGTTACTGAGTATTTTTTAACTTCATTCCTACTCCCATTTTAAATACAGTATACTGGACATAAATCCACATTAAGGGTGTCAATGTAAAAAAAGAAATACAAACAAATGTTTGTTGTTGTTGTTGTGTGTTATATACTGTCGAGTCGGAACCGACCCATAACTGAGCCTAGCAGGTTTTCAGAGGTCGTTAACCACACAGAGGAAACTGCCCACCCTTGTCCCATGGAACAGCTGATGGTTTTGAACCGTGGGTCCTTGGGATTGCAGCACAGCTTCTTGCCACTAGGCCAACTGACACCATTATCACATGCCCAGCTAAGAAGCTGCCAAAAAAAAACCCCACCCAAAACAATCCAAAAGCAACCACCCCGAAATTCTTCTTCTGAGATGCGACTCTCTCTGGGCCAAGCGGTGGCTCAATCTTCCTTTTCCCTTTCACACACAAAGCCAAATTCACACAGGAGATTAAGAAGAGAACTCCCTCCTGAGATGTGAAAATGTCAAAACCCAAACACTTGATTCACAAACACCTAGGGCAGCTTGGGAATCCTGTCCAGGGGCTGAAACAAGGTTAGGAAATGTTGCTACAGAATGCAGACCTGTCATCACCTGACAAAGGAATACTCTGGCAGTGGGTATCAAAAACGCACTTTATCATTACAAAACTTCCGTTTCTCTACCCAATTCCCTCCACTCTCAGTGCTCAGGGACAACAGACTCTCGAACCAATCAGCCTGGACTCGAATTCCAGCTGCTCTGTTTCTGTCACAGACACCTGGCTAGTGCTTTCTATACCGTGATCTCTAAAGTGGACGTGATTCACAGAGAGAATGAAATTGACCAGTGCGTGTGACGCACACACCTGGGCGACCCTCATCATGTGACGAGAGGCTGTCCAGCCTGGGTCCAGCCGTCTTTCTCTTCAGCACAGCCATGCAATCACCAGGCCCCACCTTGCCTGGCTGGCTGACCTCTCCTCACACTTTCAGTTCTCTCGGTCACTAACTGGCTCACACACGAGTCCAGGCTCCCGAGGGAGCATGGGAACTTCAAACTCCCTCTAACACCTCACACTCAGCCTCTTCTATGCTGAAGGCACTGCCTCACTGCTCTGAGGTCAGTTCCTCCTCTGTGTTTCCTGTGTGGATCAGCGGCCCTGCGACCCACCAATGTGGTCAGCCAGGCCCCACACCCAGGGCCCTCTCCTCTGCAGTGGCGCGTGCCTACCTGCCTTCAGCACCGCCCAGCACCATCTCTTCAGCATCGCTCTCCATGGAGCCCTCAGCTGAGCAAAGTGCCCTCTGGGCTCCGACAAGGCGCTGGACAGACCCTCACCTGTTACAGGGAAACCATTCACGGCTCTCTCCACAGGTAGGTGACAAGCCTCTCAAGGACAGAACTTCTTGTCATTCATCTTTATGCCCAGTGTTCAAACCAGCCAACAGGGTCTGAGGAGCCCGTCACAGTGTTCGTGATGGTGCTGGTTACCAGAGAGTCAATGCCAGCTCACGGGGACCTCGTGGGTACAGGGTGGCACTGCTCTGCAGGCTTTCAGAGATGTGAGCCCCCAAAGGGCTCACCAGGCTGCCTTCTCAAGTGCCTCGGGGTGGGTTCGAACTCCCAACCTTCGAGGGAGGAGCTGAGTGCTTAACTGGTTTGCACCATCTAGAAATCCTCCCACTGGTTCACACTCACTGCCATTGGCTGGCCCAAGCTCACAGTGACCCTCCGATGGGGTCCTGGGGGCTGGGATTCTGGGGCTGTAAATGACAAGAGGCTTCCTTGTGCAGGGCCACTGCTGGAGACTGACGCACAGACTTGGCCTGAGCAGCACTGACTCTGGTAGTCACGCCACCCACGCTCCCTAAACACGGAACTCCAAGGGGGCCTGTCTTCTAGCTCCTTCCCTTTGATCCACAGCCTGTCAAAACCAAGCCACCTAAACCAACTGTGGCTAAGGTGATTCTTCCCTGTGGTAGAACTCCCACCTCCAGAGAAACAGCACTAAGGTAACAGGTTCATCCGCCCACACAGATCAAAGAAGGAATGCTGTTTCAGCTGGAGCAAGAGGAAATGGGAGAAGCTGAGGCCAAGAGCCTTCTCACTGTGTCGAGCAGGAAGGCCACCCAACTAAGGAGCAATGTGCACATGTCACAGATATTAAGCATCTGCATCAATGAATGCCCTGATCATCCAGGCACCATGAGGCGCTGGGTAACCAATGATCCACATGCCAGCTCCCCAGGGACTCAAGGCTGAAGGCTGAGAAAAGGCACAGGCAGGAAGAAAAGGGGTGGCCAGGGCCTGAGTCAGGAACAGTACAAGTGGGAGGCGGAAACACCTACCCAAGGAGGAATGGGTGGCTGGACAGAGCTGAGGCTCACCCCTGATCTTTTAAGCCAGTGCTGCTGAGGATGGTACAGGACTGGACAGGGTTCAAGTTGGCCATTCAAACAGTTACTATGAATCATACTCAGTGGGGCACCTAACAACAGAAGAGTGAGGCTGGGCTGAGAGAGTGGGACAGACACTGGGCTGCTGAAAGGCCACCTGGGCCTTTTTCAGGCCCCTGAGAAAGGGAGCTGTGTGGTGTGGTGGGAAGGGTCCTCCACTGGGATCTGGGACACCTGATTCCCAAATGTGCCCTTACCAAGTTTGACCCGCTTTAACCAGCCAAGACCCTGCTAAGAAACAAGAAATCGGATTGCACAGGGTGGCAGAGCTCAGTGGGTGGAGGGAGCAGGTGAAGGAATTAGGAAAGACCCAGGGGGACCTGAAAAGATGGGTGATGGTGGTCATTAATGGTGATCAGTGTTATAAAATAGTGTAGAGGAGTGATTGTATGAAACGCAGTGTGAATGAAGGGTATGTGTGAAACACAACGTATACGATATTTGTATGCAGACCAATATAAAACTTGAAAAAGAAAAGCTGGGACTGTGCAGATCAGAAGGTGACAGGTGACGTGGCCAGCTGGGTTTGTTTAACTGGGAACCGCCCCTCTGCAGCTCCCCGAACACACAGTGGCTCAGTGGAGGAGAGGCCGCACTCTGGACCTGGACATTGGGTCAACTGCTGGTTCAGCAGGCGTCCGGCTTCGGGTGCATTGCCCAATCTTCGTCCTCTGGCGGTCAGCGGGGGTTGACAGCGGCTCTAGACTCACAGATTGCTGCGATGACCCTGCGTCGAGCTGGAGGCCGGCCGGGTGCGCCCCCCGTGTGCCCCCCGTGCGCCCCTCGGCCCTGCCTGTCCGCACTCACCGCCTGCTCGTTCCTCATGCCCACGTACTTGATGCCCAGCACCTGCGCGGCCGTGGCGATCTCGGTCACCGGGATGCCCACGATCCCGAACATGTACTGCACACCCTGCGGCGGGAGACGATGCACTGAGCGCCCCAGACCCCCGCGCTTCCCCGCGCACGTGCACCGCCCGCCGCGTCCCTCGTCTCCATGACGACCGGCCTCCGGGACCCCGCCGGGCGCGCGCGTACTTGCGTCTTCAGGGCCTGGGCGATGATTTCGGCGCCGGACACCTGCTGCCCGCGCCGGGCGCCGCGCTCCCTGGACTCAGTGTCCGTCATCTTCACCTCGGAGTTCCAGGACCTAACCCTGCAGCTAGCGGACTCGGAGTCCCGAGAACGGAGCCAATTGTTGGGCGGCTCTCCTGACTGACAGGCGGAAAGCAGCCAACCATCTTAAATACCGCACAGGAAGAGGCGGGGAAAGGGCGGGGCTCCGGAGGCGAGGGGCGGGCCCAAGCTCATTTCTTTCCCCTATCAGCGCGGTGCGCACTTGTCTGCTCGGCCACTCGTCAGGTCGGCGTGTTCGAGGATAGGCAGGACTACACGAGCAGGTAAGAAGCCGAACTCCACAACCTTCAGGACAAGGTGTTTGCCTTTATTTCTGAATCTTCTACTGAGCAAACCTTTCGGGAATTGAATTGCGCATGCGTTAAGGCGGAGCCGGCCTGAAATCACAAAGCGGGCGTGGCGTGGCCGGGGGCGTGGCGTGGACACTGAGGGGCGTGGCGAGTGTGGAGGCGTGGCCACGGAGGGGCGTGGCCCGGGACTGAAGGTTGCCTGCAGCCTGGAATGGGGCTTGTGTGGTTACAGGTTACTCAGCCTTCTAACTTCTGATTTTGCAATTTGTAAGCTACCGTCATTCACGGCACTGCGATACTCATAAAGTCATTATCTTAGTTTATAGATGGAGAATTCAAGCTTTAAGTCAAATTAACTTGCTTCTGATTACAAACCCTGCCTTCTGTCCACTGTCAGGGATCTGGTGTGGCTTGGTCTATAGGGAGTTCACTGCCCACCCCTGGAGATGGCTGTCCATGGGAGTCCACCCGCTGCTCTGCGGGAGAAGGATGGGCAGTCTCCTCCTGTGCAAGTGACTGCCTCTGAAAACCCGCTGGAGGGTCAGCTAGGAGTCGGTTCTGACTCGATGATACTGAGTTTTTTCGTTGATCCACTCTGACTTGTTAGCTCACAGAAGTTGGGGACAGATTCGACCTCAGTTCTGAAGCATGTTTTCTCTGTCGCTTTGTTACTCACCCTTTGTTACTCACCCACCCTGCCGTCTCTGTCTGATATTGAAGAATGTGGGCGTTGTTAATTCTTAGTTCAGGCCCAGTCTGTAGCCACCTCCTGTACTCTTAAACTTTCCCCTTGGCCTTCTTTCAAAATTTTTCTTTGATTTTTCTGCAGTTTGAATATGATAAACATGTTGTTGTCTACCACTGAGTTGGAACCAACGCATAGCTGACCCTCCAGTGGGTCTCAGAGGCCGTAAATGCTCGGGAGGAGAATGTCCATCTTTCTCTTGTGGGGCAACTGGTAGATGTGAACCATGCACCTTAGTGTTACTGCTGCAGTTCCTTAGTGCACCAGGAGCTCTGGTGGCCTAGTGCTAAGAAGCTGTGCTGTAATCCTGAAGGCACGGGGTTTGAATTACCAGTTGTTTGGCAGTCTCCTCCCATGGAATGCACTGCCTCTGAAAACCCACAAGAGGGTCAGCCAGGACTTGGCTCCAACTCGACAGTACACAACAACAACAGTCTTATAAGATATTATAAAACTGTGTATGTTGTTGTGTACCGTAGAGTTGGAACCGAACCACAGCTGACTCTGCGGGTTTTCAGAGACAGTTAATCACATAGGAGGAGATTGCCCACCCCATCTCCTATGGAGCAGCCAATGACCTCGAACCGC